ATGAATTGGTTATTTATGATATGATAAATAAACATTGCATGATTCAGTGGGCAAAGATTTTTTGACATAAAAAGTTGGAAAGTTGGAGGGGGAGAAGAGAGGGTGTATGGGGGAATGAAGTGTTATGTTGGGGGGTTTTTTTTTCTTTTTTTCTTTTTTTTATGCACAGTATATAAGTGATTGTATAAAATGAGAATGAAAATGAAATAAAAATATTCAAAACACCAAGTTGCGAACCCTCTCTGAGGGGTATAAAATTTGACTATAAAAAGTAGTGCGCTTGTAGTTCTCAGCCCTGAGCCTACTCATGGTTACTGCCTTTCAGTATGTATTTTTTGTTATGTGGCTGTTTACTTTCTTGTACTTCTTCATCTACAATCATTCAGTTCTAAAAGGGGGGGGGATAAAAATAATAGGCACAGATATTGTGTATTAACTGTAATAGTGATCATGTGACTTGGACAGTGCAAAGGGTGTAAACTTGGGCATTAGTCATAAAATTATTTTTCTCAGCAGTATTATAACTGAACAGTTACTGAACAAGACAGTCAGTAAGCGACATCTACCCCTATGCTAGTAATTGCCCAGCATCAAGAGGAAACTTTGTTTTAGATTGGTTGAAATCACACTAGTCAATTCTTTGGCAGAATATTATTTCCGTGAAACTTTTAATTTGACAAAACTGCATCACATTATTGCATTAAATGCCTACAGAAGTTTTTATCTTAAAACCATCTGCTATTTTATATTCCATATAAGAATTGTACACGGTTGAAGTTTTTTTAAACTATGACTATTTTTTTCAGTAACTGGTGCTACAACCACTATCTATGCAGTTGAAGCTGATGGAGATCCAAATGAAGGATATGATAAATCAAAAGAATCTGGTGATACGCAGTATTTGATTAAATGGAAAGGTTGGTCCCATATTCATAATACCTGGGAAACTGAAGAAACTCTAAAGCAGCAGAATGTTAGAGGAATGAAGAAACTGGACAACTATAAGAAAAAGGATCAGGAAACTAAGCGCTGGTGAGTGTTTGCAAATTATAATAACATTGTTAATGTTATGTGTAATATTTGTATGATATATAAAGCAAGTGTCATTAAATAATTTATATTTTCGAATTCAAGTTATGTTAGTACTCCTGATCGACAAATTCAGGTTATCTTCAATGGTTTAGCAGAATGAATAGATTTTATTTGAATGTAAAATCTTTAATAATACAGGTAGTTAAAATTATGAAACCATAATTTTTGTTATTAAACAAGGCAGTTATTAAATGAGTTGCACCTGAATTTATGATTTTTTGCCAATTTGCTAAGTGAATTATGCAGTCATTAACTGAATCTTGTTTCCCCCATTGATTTTGTCTTTTGAAAGCCAACTAGGCCATATATATAATCACTTCCTAAACAATGATTATATATATGGACATGATACACTGCAACTGTTGTAAATGCTGATGGCCAATTTTTTGTCATCTGTGACGATTCTAAGTGAAAGGACCAGTCATGTCATTTTCTCAGTGCCATTGTAACTTCAAATAGTTGCTAAATAAATGGTTGTAAATCAAGGAATCCTTGTAAATCCAGGGATTTACTATGCAGGATATAGGATACAGCTTTACTAGATTTTTAAAAAACTGGATGAAAATAAATACCCATAATCATTGCTAAACACTTAGGCAGATGTTTTTATTCTAAAAAGCTATCTAATTTTTGTCTTTAAACGAATGTGATTTAAAATTGAAGCTTCAGTTTAAAAGAATACAATTCAGCTGAAGTTATGAACATATAGGGGTACACAGTATATCTCCTGCCATAGTCTGCATTAGGAAATAATAAGAGAATTATTCTTTACATTGATTAATGTTGCACAGAATGTGTAAACATTCATATTGAAAATTTTATACTCAGAAATGTACAGATCAAATATTAGCTATGCAATATTATTCAAAAGTGCATTGTTGATTTTTTTTAGCCACAGTAAACTTTACTATTTTACTACTATTTACTAAATTTTGTTGGCTAAGTTAGATGTTGGTTAAAAGATTAATTTTATAAAAATGAGATGACTTCAGTGTATAGCAAGATGATGCCTTGTTTTTAATTGTACGAAAAAGGATATTCAATATAACTTAGTTCTGGTTCAGTTATGTATAAATCATTAAAATCTGACTAAAGTTCCAATTATCGGTGTACATAAAATAGAAAATCCTTTTTTAAAACACTGACAGCAAACCATGGATTCCAGAAATTCTGCTTGAAGCATTGTTGGGTCAGCCTGAATTCAGCAGAAACAAAACTCCAGGCATTTTAGTTGTTTTAGGGGTTTTTAGATTTTTTTTTAAATCCCAGCTTCATTTGTTTTATAAATAACTCAGGGTGATGAATACTCCTTCCTTCTCCTATTTACTCTACAACAAACCTGTGAGATGATTTGGGCTGTTAGTGACTAGTCCAAAATCACCAGCCAGCTTTCATTCCTGAGATTGGAGTAGAACTCAAAGGCTCCTGGTTTATAGCTTGGTGCCAAATAAGTCAGGACTTGTGCATGTCACCCCATCTTCTTCCAAGTGGAGCCAACCCAACCTATCTTCCCAGCACCTGCTCCCTCCTTTCACCCACTGTCAATCCATATTTGACCAGTCTGACCACCCATTTTCAGAGAAATTTGCCTCTTGCTTTTCCCCTGCCCCAACTTTACTACCACTGCCAGTATATTGGACTGTGTGCCTAATTACGAAACTGATTACTAGCGATAAGTGACAGGTACTCAGCATGCCTATTCCACCGGCTTCTGTTCTATAATCTTCATAGCCTATCCTTTCTCATAGTCATGGTTGCTAATCTCCATACATGCTGTTTTCAAAGAAATTATTTAGCTGTGATATTTCCATATTCTTTTCCACACATTGTGCTTGATATATTGGGGTGTTTTAGGCCATATCTAGGCTCATACAGTCCTATTTCATTCTCATTACAAACAAGGTATAGAATAGCTGTTCCATGCACAGAACAATTTGTGTAGGGACTCTTTTCTATGTTGCTACTTCTAGTCTTTTTCATACCCCTAGCTAGGATCTAAATACCTTGGTATCAACAGACAGTTCTTCATTTTCCTGAGACTAAGGTTCATGTGATATAAGGAAAATCTTAGATTTTAGGCCATGAAATACATGTCAACAGGTCCTGAAGTGACTGTTAGCTAGCCGTCTCTTTTTCTTGTTATTCTTTTTTATAATACTTGTTTCTTTTATTATTTATATCTAATAATATAATTGATTATTTAATATAATCTTCGTTTATACTTCATAGCTAATGAATTTTCATAGCTAATGCAAACCAAATGTTCCTGGTGGGTTATATGATAACATGTAAAAGATACAGTGAAAATATTTTTTTAAATAGTAGCAATCAACAAGTAAAAAAAAAGAAATAATACATCAACCCTCCCTGAAAATGGATACTGAGGTGTCAAACTAGGTTTGAAGATTTGTGTAATGAAACTTTCTTTCAAGATTTTCTTAAAATCATGTGTGACGGTTTTACACACCTCCTGTATAATTATAAACCATTTTTAGTATCTTGTCAGAAAGATAATACCTAAATGCATTGGATAATCTTCTGTATCATCTCGAATCTTTGTCTAAATATTTAAGAAAGAGTTTTTGGGGTTGTGCAGGATAGCATTGGGAAGTCCAGAAGCCACACTATTCATATTACCCTTTAGGATCCAACCATTGAAAGTCACAACTTTGCAAAAGTCATATGTGGGGTGGTTGTCATCTTGTTAGATAGAGTATTTTCGTACCTTGAAATCGTATCAATGTTTTTTTAATGATGTCACTAACATTATCTATATTTTCTTTCCAGGCTGAAAAATGCTTCTCCAGAAGACGTAGAATATTACAACTGTCAGCAAGAGCTTACAGATGACTTGCATAAGCAGTATCAAATTGTAGAGAGAATTATTGGTAGGTGATATAACTTGAAACTTGAAATATACATGATTCAAATATATTTAAATTCATAATATTTATATAAAACATTATTTTAAATGCATTTTATTTATTTGCTTAGGCTTAAAGCCATTGTAATCACGGTGACTGTTAAAAATTACTTACAGCCTGGGTTTTGATGAAAATAAATTAAGTTTAAACAATGCTGTTGAATTTGTAAATGCAGTAATAGTAGAGAAATATAATTACTTTACTCTTTCTATTATAGCGTAAGCTTAAACTTAAGTTTTTATCCATTTTGGCAACCAGTATTTGATTACACTCATCTTTAGCTTTTGTCAAATCAAAAACTTACTGGATTGGTGACCAGGCGGAGGCAATGCAGGAACAATCCTGTCAATTGCCAATATCAATCATTTATTCCAAGGCAGATCAAGTATCCTACAGAATGTACATCAAGGCTTTGGGAAAATCTTCCAAGAAGTGCCCTATGAAATTAGTTGTTTAGGATAGTGATTTTAATAGTCCTATCCTCACATTATCTATGGAAGACTATTTCTGATCATATGTAGTCTTCTAGACAATTACTACTACTACTACTCCCTATTATGTGTTGCCTCTAATGTTTGAAATGTACAGGATTTCCTGTTTAAGCAGGGGAATGGACTAGAAGACCCCCAAGGTCCCTTCCAGCTCTCTTCTGATTCTAATGCATCATTGATATCCAGATGGGCATATCTCCAAGAGTAACTCATTCCATTTCTCTTCTATATGTATCTCAGTAATACTTGCCTAATCAATCTGCTGATCGAAGATCAGAATTTGAATGAGAAAGGTTATATTATGGAGAAACCTGGCATTCAGTAGCAACAGTTTGAGCCTATAGTATAGCAATGTTCCACTACTCGATTACCAAGATGAGGTGGAGAGAGGAGGAATTAAAGTAGGGCAGCTCATCCGCTACCTCCTTTCATATTACTATTTTGATACTATCCTTTCCTCACTACTCCCTTCACTCCCCATTCTGTAATTAATGGAGTTGACCAATTTATTTCCTACCTTATATCCTTCCAGCTTTAGTCAACCCTTTCTCCCTGTGGCTTTCCCTTCTCCTTTCCAAATGGAGTTGCGCCCCTTTGTGAAGAGCATTCCAACATCCTTGTCACACTACCACCACCACCTCTTGGGATAGTAATTTGCACTGTATTGTTTCTACAACTGACATAAGTCTGGTCACCCAATTTCTTCCCACTTCTGGATTAATTCAAACTATTCAGATGGGTTTTTTTTAACCTTTCCTTTACCCTACATGCACTTCACTTTTGGTGTTGATTTGGGGGAGAAGAGGACACTCTGTAGACCCCTTTTTTGTGAGCTACTATAGGGTTGAACTCTCTCCCCACCTATTTAGCATCCACATGAAACCACTGGGTGAGATCATCCAACAATTTCCTTTCCCATGTACCTTCCACTAAAGTTGTCTCTGGCTTTCACAGGCTTAATCCTCTGGCTGCCTCCTCAGTTTGAATTCTTGCTTTGTTCCTTTTTCATTCAGTCCAATTTCTACTCTGATGCTATTTCAGCTTTTTAACTCCCATTCACAGATCTCCAATCAATTAACTATTCTCTCAAAACATTTGCCACTTTTTTCATTTTCATTTTCTTTTTTTTGCAAATCTTTCCTTGTTAAACAATTACATCCACTCAAACTCAGACATTATTAACAAATATTGTACTTTAATCAGGTTTTGTGTACAATCTGTTCTTCATGATTCATTATTTAAGTGAAAATGTTGGTTTTCATTTTTATACTTATTGTCTATAGCCCATTCTAATCAGAAGTCAGCAGCTGGTTATCCAGATTACTATTGTAAATGGCAAGGTCTTCCTTACTCGGAGTGTAGCTGGGAAGATGGAGCTCTTATTGCAAAAAAGTTCCAGTCACGCATTGATGAGTATTTTAGTAGAAATCAGTCGAAGACTACGCCATTTAAAGATTGTAAGGTAGGTAAAGTTTAACTTCTTTTAGTAAATGTAGCATATTCAGCATTTAAAATATAGGCGTTTTCATTGTGCAGATGGGAATCCATAAATAAAAGTAAATATAAATCAAATAAATATGAGTTGAGTGGTAAATGTTTGTTTATTCCATTTGTATGCCGCCCTATTCCCAAGGGACTCAGGGCGGCTAACAAAACAACGGTGGTGGGGGGGAATACAAACAACAAAACAAAAAGACAAAACAAGTTAAAAACAAAGCAACAGTCGCAACAATTCAAGTGGGGCTGGGAACTCCTCAGCCCCAGGCCTGCCGGAACAGCCAGGTCTTAANATGTTGGATAGCCATTTGTCTAAAACGGTATAGAGTTTCCTGCCTAGGCAGGGGATTGGACTAGAAGACCTCCAAGGTCCCTTCCAACTCTGCTACTGTTATGTATTGTAATGTATTGATAATTGTAATAATAATTCATATGTAATCATTTATATGTAACACTTTCTAGTGCAAAATTATTAGTTATAGCAGCTACAAATGTTTCATTGCTGCATCTAGGCTGAAGTCAGATTGACATTGATCGTAGATAAATATAATTCTATAAGCATTCTTATAGTTGCTGGCTACCACTCATTTGTCTAAAAAAAGGATAGTAATTTGAAAATGGCATCTTTCAAAGAAGTAGAAATATTTTTCTTCCATAAAAAGGTATTAAACACTCCCTTGAACCATTTGGTTAAACACACTTAGATTTATATATTGCAATAGGTCACTACCTGTTCTTAATTTAAATATTTTCCCAGTTCTGCAGATTGTAGTAACTTAAATAGATTCCATAAACTCTGATTAGATAATGCCCCTTTAAATTCAGTAGATCTCCTCTAATTTTGGTATACAATTTGGAGTAGATGCAAGTAACATTTTACAATAACAATTAATTTGTGGGTCAGCCTAAATTTTAGGATTAGCCCCAGGGTCAGCCTAAATTTTAGGATTAGCCCCAAAGCAGCTCACTGGCTACTTAGAAAGCACTTTTTATTGAAGATAGTGGAGAAATGGGCTCTCCTTCTGGTAAGCATGTTTGTCCTTTATTATATCCATTAGATTATTTTCACTGTAGGAATGACACTGCTGCCTACATTCTAACTATTTGCTGATTTATTTCATTGCTTACTGCTCTCCAGTAAAGTAAGAAATAATATGGGCTCTTATCTAACCAGAAAATTCATTAAGAAATAATATTAGAAACTGCTGCCATTGTTTTACCATTCTGTAATGTTTTTATATGTATTCCACTTCAGTTTTGGAAATCAAATCCAAGCATTCTCGCTGTTCAGAGATCTGCAATGCTCAGGAAACAGCAACAGCAGTCAAAAGCAGCATCCATAAATAGTGGATCAGAAGAGGTAAATAATCATGACCAATTTTCATTTTTTAAAACAGTTCAATATATTAGAGAAAAAAATGGAATGATTCTTGTCAGAGAAAAGTTACATTTCAGATTTATGATTAGAAGCTGTTTAGATAATAATTGTTTCCTTAACTTGGAATGGCATTGCATCTTTAAAATTGCTTAACAAATCTATTTCTTCATGATTATGATTAATATGCTTTAATCATTGTATAAAAGAGAGTTAAAGTCATTGACAGCACAGTTTTTAGGGGCTTTGATCCAGGTACCTTTTAATGGAACTTTATAGTTGATTTTCTTAATTTCTGATTGCAGCCTACAGTTCCTTTGTAGTTGCAGTAACTATTTATAAATTTGTCAGGCAGAATATACATTTAATGAATTATTATTAAATTAATAAGGTGATAATAAAGTTCATACATATTTCTTACTGTTTAGGAATCATCAAGTAGTGACGATTCTGGAGATGACTCATCCAATGAAATCAAGAGGAAGAAACATAAAGAGTAGGAATTTTTTTTAAAAAATGCTTCATAAAAGTTACTTCATTTACTCCATGCCTACTAGCGCAAGTTTATTTTCAGAGATATTTTGTTTCTTATCCAAGGAATCATATTCTTATATTTCTTCATTGGTATTGTATCTTATATAATCATGTCCGAATTTGTATAGAAACATTCTAACAAGAGAAGTACAGGCAACTACAGCAGAACTAAAGTTTATATTCCTTTTCAATAAGTTAGAACAATGGTTCCCAAAGTGGGTGGTACCGCCCCCTGGGGGGGTGGGATGATTTAGGGGGCCGCTAGGGGGCACTAAGAGACAAGCGGGGACCGCAGGGAAGGTGCTATGAGAGTGAGGAAAAAAAGATTGTGTATTGTGTTGGCTGCAGAGACCGTCGCCTCTAGGTTGGTAGCTTCCCCTTAGCTAATTCTCAGATGGAAATGGTCGGTGAGCGGGGAGATCGTGCACAGTGTTGTTAGGGGGGGGGGGAAACCCCACCAATCGAATTCTAGTTGCCACTGGTTTAAAGAACGGCCACATATTTCATGCCATCCTTTTGCTTTGCATGGAGACGCTGCTGGATAAAAGTAACTGGGGAGAGGGGGTGATGAGCGGAAGTGCGGTCGCTCTCTTTTGGTGGTGTGGATTTTGTTTAGGGAGGTTTGGATTCCCAGCAGGAGGGAATCTCGCATTGCAATCTTCCGTTTCTAGCTTTGGAAATACGGGTGTTGTTAAACTCACAGGAGCTTTCTTTGATATAGTATACCATATGTATATACTACTATAGTATAGGTCAGGAGTCCCCAAACTTGACAACTTTATGACTTGTGGACTTCAATTCCCACAATTCTCCAGCCAGCATAGCTGGACGTTGAAGTCCATAGCTGTCTGGAGAATTCTGGGAGTTGAAGTCCACAAGTCTTAAAGTTGCCAAGTTTGAAGACCTCTGGTATAGGTTCTCCTGNGGCAATATGCTGACTCTGTAAACCGCTTAGAGAGGGCTGAAAGCCCTATGAAGCGGTATATAAGTCTAACTGCTATTGCTATTGCTATTGATTCAGTTCTATAGAGGAATTATTTAGTCTGTCATCTGTACCTCTATAACTGTCTGGTTTGGCTCTGCAACCAAACAAGACAGACAGACTTCAGTGGATAATTAGAACTGCAGAAAAAATAATTGCTACCAACCTACCTTCCATTGAGGACCTGTATACTGCACTACTCAAAAAGAGGGCTGAAAATATCTGTAGACCCCCTCACATCCTGGACATAAATGGCTTCAACTTCTACCTTCAAAACCACACTATATGGCACTGCACACCAGAACAACTAGACACAAGGACAGTTGTTTCCAGAATGCCATCACTCTGCTAAATAATTAATTCCCATAACACTGTCAAATTATTTACTAAGACTATTACTATTATTCCTATCTCCTCCCACTTATGGCTATAATCTTGTTGCTTGTATCTATATGATTTATATTGTTTTATTTGTTTCCTAGTATGATTTGTTTGCTTATTTAATAAGTATCTTTTGACTATCACTAAGTGTTGTATCTTATGATTCTTGAAGAATGTTTTTTTTTAATGTAAACTCAGAGCATATGCACCAAAGACAAATTCCTTGTGTGTCCAATCACACGGCCAATAAATAATTACATTCTATTCCATTAGAGTGTCTCACGATATAGTCACATGGGATGTTGTGTCATAAGCAGTCAGCTGCTATTTTTTCAGCCATATGAAGAGCAGCTACTGTAAATTCACTCAGTTAAATAGATTATTTCCGAAGTGTAAGCTGTAACAATAGGGGTGGGTTGATTTAACATTGAATTGTGCCTCCTTCATACATTGAATTGTGCCTCCTTCATACATGTGGAAATGATTATAACAATTTTAAGGTATAAACCGGCTATGTAATCTAGGCTGTGACCTAGAATTCAGGAATAGGAAATTGCTCTCTCTGGCAATCTTTAGCCTCAGCCAATGGGTTTCTGGCATGGAAAGTGACTTTACTCTGATAGGCGGAAGAACCTTTGGCTGGGGCCACAGGCTCCCAACGCTGTCATGTATTTGTACAATTACTGCTAGATAGTGAGATGTTTAAAAAAAATCTTTGTTTTACATTAGTCATTCTTCATGTCCTATAACCATTAGAACTTGATTTAATTCACTGTCTCATTATCTTTCATCCTCTTAACTGCTTTATTATTTCTCACACTCATATGTGTCTTTAAATTGGCATTTATATTGGGGAAATAGAGTACATTGACTGTATCAGCCCTACATTAATGTGGGGGAGTTACCTTGCATTTAAAAGAAAAACCTGAATTATGTCCGTGGTATGCAGCAATAAACACAGCAGTCCTATCACCTATGTGCAACTTCTAATTCCCCAAACCAAGAAGTAGTCTTCCTGGGGAGAGGGCCTGAAGAGATAGGTCCTAAAGAGGTTAACTTGAAAAGCAAAATAATAGGAGGATGAGGTTTGTCTTCCTTTAACTTTGTGCTCATTACATTGATTGAAAATTAAAAAAGAAAACTGAAGAGCTGCAGATCTATTGTAGCAGTCCTGGTCCTAATTTCTCAGCAAAGTGTAATCTAAGATGTTTTTTCATTGTGTTATGTGTTTAAAAAGCTGCCTGTTATTTTCCTCCAGTACTCTGGTCCATAGATCACATCGCATCACCTCTCCGTCTCCACCCCCCACCCCCAATCATTTGTATTTTATCTCTGTTGTCTTTGAATGTCAGATAGTATAAAATTTAGGTTTTCAATTGAAAGTGAAATAAGGAATAAAAATAACATTTCTTTTTTTTAACTTTGGTAGGTTTTGAAGCAAAGACCAAGATTTGTGGCTTTAAAGAAGCAACCTAATTACATTGGAGGTCATGAGAACCTAGAATTAAGAGATTATCAATTAAATGGACTAAATTGGTTGGCCCATTCATGGTGCAAGTATGTACATATTTAAAAACTTATAACTGTCTATTAAAGTGCATATATGTGTGTGTGTGTGTAGAAAATAAGCATCATATACATTTTAATTTAGCTAACTATTTGTTTACTTTGGCCTTCAACTGGCTGGACTTCTTGCTGCAGAGTTTTGGAACTCTTTTGCCATTGCCTAGGACTGAGAGAATGACTTGCCCAAGGTCACCCAGCTGGTTGTGTGCTTAAAGCAAGGCTAGAATTCAGAGTCGTATAGTTTCTAGCCCAGTTACCTACCCACTATACTAAACAGGTTTTCCTATCTGCATAAATGTGGTCCATTCATACTTGAAGGTACAAAAATAATAATTATATTATAAAGATATTTGAGGTTTAACATCGGTACTTTGCAAAATTGAAGCATATTGCAGCCTTAGTACATTTAGAAGTAAGAATCTTGCTTTCTGTACATGTTTAATCCCAATAAGTTTTAGGATCAGATAAAATCTGTTCTTTGCTCCTTGGAATTTTAAAATGTATTTAATAATCTAATTTAGCAAAGTGGAAGAAAAGTACTGTTGTCTTATTAAACCATGAAGATCCAAATCTTGCCAGCCAGTTATATAGCAACAAACTACACCAAAGGGGAAAATGTATCACATATGGTGGCTACGCAGAAAAACTCAAAAATATTAGAAGGAAATACATCAAGCATTCAGAAAATGTGAAACTCAACATTGAACTAAAGTCAAAATTATTTTTATTAGGAATAATTCTAGAAAACATAAAAGTATCACAATTTATTAAGCATCTGTGTATGCAAAACCATCTCCTTGGGAGTCATAGAGTTAATATATGTTAATAGCTGTAAGAAAATCAGCTATAATGTATGTTTGTATATATAAATATATATGTCTGTCTCTGTGTGTGTGAATGACACATTATGTCTGACACATTATATAGCAAAGGTAAATTCAGATATTTTGAATAACTTTTAGAAAAAGAATAAAGTGATTAATCAAAAATAATAACAGATACTAGGGATAACATCCAATGATTAGTGTTCAAAGTATACCATAGATATTTAGGTAGTGGTTAGCAGTTGGGAAATAAATGAATGGGAAGAATGTGGCTACCAAAAGGTGTGGGGAGGGGTTGAAGAGAAGGTAAATTAGTAATTCTATAATTTCTACTTTGCTTTTTGTATCTTTATTCTTGTTTCATTTTTTAATAATCTGTCAAACCTTATGCAATTAAATAATAATGTAAACAAATCTTTTCAGACCTTTATCATGTCCTTGATTCATTGTGAATTGCAATATGAATACGTATTGTAAAAATAAGTAAAATGTTAATATTTAAATGACTATTAGTAAAATTTAGAAAGTAATTCTATCATAATAATTTAATTTCTAATAAGTAGAAATTAATGAATCGTTATGTGATGTTTAACTTATTTTGTTCATACAACTTTGCAGGGGAAACAGCTGTATTCTTGCTGATGAAATGGGTTTGGGCAAAACGATACAAACCATCTCCTTTTTGAATTACTTATTTCATGAGCATCAGTTGTATGGCCCTTTCCTGCTCGTAGTACCTCTTTCCACCCTGACATCTTGGCAAAGAGAAATCCAGACATGGGCTCCCCAGATGAATGCTGTAGTTTATTTGGGAGATATTACCAGTAGAAATGTGGTAAGTGGAATTGTAGGTTAATGAGAAATGGAGATCTGGAATGTATGCCATCTTTTGAAGAAAAGGGATGGATAGAGATTTTCAAAACTAATTACAATGTATTTTATCATTTTTTATAGTGAAATCAGTTTTGGTTTATTTTCATTAGCGTTTATTAATTTCAGATCAACTTTTGACTTGATCAGTTATTTAATATAATGAGAAAAGTTTTAAATGAAACTGCTGCTTTTTAAGTTGGATAGATGGATAATAGGTTATCAAGGATCTTTTCTACCCTTGTTTCTCATAGAGAAGTTAAACAGCTGTTTATTAATCCCATTTCTATTTTGTGCTCCTTTCCTCTTCTTCCATATATTATAATGTATTTATACATGCAATTTGGTTTGGATTAGTGTGTTTTAAGATTAATTAAATTGTTTATATTAGCTGTTTCATAGATTTAAAAAAAAACCTGTGGCCTTGTATTTCACTGAATTTTTCTATAGATAAGAACTCATGAATGGATGCATCTACAGACTAAACGATTAAAATTTAACATCTTATTGACAACCTATGAAATTCTGCTGAAAGATAAGGTTAGTAATTAGACTGATTGATTTAATAATTTCTAAAGATTAAAACAATATTCAAAACACATTACTTTTTCAATTAAAAATAAGAAATTAGATTGATTGTTATGATACACATCAATAAATACCAAATATATCTTAGATGTTTTAGATATTTCTCTTCTAAGATGAAAAAAGTATCATCAAAAAAAAAAGAATGAACCTTTCAGAATGCCTTTTATAACTACCTCCTCCTTAAGCAAACTGAAAGGGGACATTCTTAACAAGATTTAAAGAAAATGTCCACCTATGGATCAATTCTTTCTTTTCCATCAGAATTGTGTGAAAATGTATGACTTTTCTAAGGCTGGTAGAAATAATTTCCATCCTGTTGGGAAAAAGAAAACTCATCAGCACTATCCCTACAGGGCTTTGGATAAAATGGTTTCTCTGCCTTCTTATATTATTATTTACCTGTATAATTTTTACTGTCCATAATTTAGTTTAAATTGCTATGTTAATTATATTTTTTTCTTTTAAAAGAAAGCATATTTATTGTGGGTATTTTTTCCTTCTAAAAAGTCATTCCTTGGAGGCTTAAATTGGGCCTTTATAGGAGTAGATGAAGCTCATCGATTAAAAAATGATGACTCCCTCTTATATAAGACATTAATAGACTTCAAATCTAACCATCGCCTTCTTATCACTGGAACACCTCTACAAAATTCCCTGAAAGAGCTGTGGTCCCTGCTTCAATTCATCATGCCAGAAAAGTAGGTAATCATATTGCATGGCCTTATTGACAAACATATATAGTAAGGTTGCAATTTGGTTTATATTTATGGTTTGATGCATAAATCAAACCTATTGATTTATATTTGGTTTTGATGGCTAAAAATGTATCTTTCTGAACATCCCTGTTTCAGTTCTGGGCATTTTGGGTGCTGTTACTACTCAGATAAAAGTAGATAAATTTGCTACTTTATTATATTTAGACTTTAACTTTTAAGAAAATCAGTAACTATTACAAGAAATTTAAACTGGGTGGTTTGGAGGTCAATTACAAATTCTCACAAAAGCGACCTATTATATACATGGCTGTATGGAAGAATCTTTTCAGAATTAATTTTCACTGACTGGAAATTCACTGAAGGAAAAAAAAAAATCTAAAATGCTGTAGACTAGGGATGTCAAACTTGTGGCATCATGGCAGCGTCACATGATGTATCGCAACTTTTTCCCCTTCGCTAAACTGGGTGTGGCAAGCACATGACGCTTCCAGGCTGCGAATTTGACAGCCCTTCTGTAGACTGTAAAATCCAGTATCTGAACTGATTTAGGGTTACTTTTTAACATAAATAGAGTAAATCTCAGTGCTCATTTTCTTCCTTACTATCAATTAAGAATATATGAATGGTTTATTTTCATTAGCTGATTGGTTAGTCCAAATACCTACTTGTGTCTTTGATGATCAACTAGATGCTTATAAAAAAAACCCTACCATTATATCAATGTAAATGTCATTTTATCCCTTCCTTAACTCATAATTATTTAAAGATGTTCTGTTTGTAATACTTAAGGTAACACATAGCCACAATTGAATGATCATTACAGAAGGACCACATGTATTATTTTGTATTCTGAATATATAATAGTGAAACTAATATTTGAATTAATTTAATATCTTTGAATGTATTGCAATGAACAATTGGGGGATTTTTTATTGAAGATTCTCTTCTTGGGAAGATTTTGAAGAAGAACATGGGAAAGGAAGAGAATTTGGTTATGCAAGTCTTCACAAAGAACTTGAACCATTTCTGTTGAGGAGAGTTAAGAAAGATGTAGAAAAATCTCTACCTGCCAAGGTGGAACAAATTTTAAGAATGGAAATGAGTGCATTGCAAAAACAGTATTACAAGTAAGTAATTTATTATGTTTATTAGAATGATATAAAATATATGCAAATTGCCATGTATCTTTTGTTTTATGCTTTGTTTTCTACAGTCTTGTTATTAACAATGTTTTTAATGCCATAGGTGGATTTTAACAAGGAATTACAAAGCCCTAAGTAAAGGATCAAAAGGCAGTACCTCAGGCTTTCTGAATGTCATGATGGAACTCAAAAAGTGTTGTAATCATTGCTACCTCATTAAGCCACCAGATGATAATGAATTCTATAACAAACAGGAGGCCTTACAGGTAAATATCCATTAAATTGTTGTATTATATACTCCAAGAGTCAGACATTTTGATAGAGATTTAGTAATTTGTCACTCAAGATGATGGTTTTATTATACTTTGATTTATATTATGTACCGTGTTTCCCCAAAAATACGACATGTCCTGATAATAACGCCATGCCACATTTTTCGGGTGGGCAAAAAAGTAAGCCCTCCCCCCAAAATAAGCCCACTGGACAAACCCTCCTTCCAGCCAGGCAGAGCACCACTCACTGACCTAGCGGTATCCTGAAGGCGCCAAGCCACAGGAACTGTGTGGGGGGCAAAGACTCACATTGCTTAGCGCCTTTGGAATAGCGCTAGGTCGGTGAGCGGTGCTGTGCCCAGCTGAAGGGGAGTTGCCGGGTGGTTGCTCTCTTATGAGCGGGCTCCCGAAGAGCTGGGCACAGCGTCAGGGTCGAACGGCTGAGTTGCGCTGTCTCAGCACTACACAGCCATGAGGTGACCATGCTCACAAGCAGCCGTCCGGCAACCACCCCTTTCCAGCTGGGCACAGCGCTATTCACTGATCTAGAGGTATTGCCAAGCAGGGTGAGCGCCTTCAGTATGCCCCTAGATCAGTGAATGGAGCGCTGCATGGCTGAAGAGGGGGTTGCGCGAGTGGCTTTTCCGCTCCCCACTAGCGTACCTCCCAGCCTCACAATGCCCTTGCCTAATTCTCCCTGCAGAGCCAGGGTATCTCCGCTGCCACCGCCGCCCGCTCCCATCGCATGTTTTCCAAAACACAGAGGTAGGATGCCGAGTCTTCCAGATGTTGCCACTCTGGGAATATGCTGTATGGTTGTACGCTCTGGGAGTACACTCTGCCACAGCCAGCCCACAACCATAGAGCATACTCCCAGAGTGGCCACTGCCGAAAGACTCGGCTGCGGCTCTCTGGAGTTTGGAAGCCGGAGAATAGGTTATGATTGGAGTGCTGCGGCACCCTACCCCTGCAGGGAGAGCTGGGCCAGGGCATGGTGAGGTTGGAAGGCACACCAGCTGGGGATGGAACAGGTGCTCGCACAACCTCCCTTTCCAACCAGACAGAGCGCCATGCACTGACCTAAGGGTATCCCGAATGTGCCAAGCCGCGGATGCTGGGGGGGAGGGCAGAGCACCACGCGGCTTAGCGCCTTTGGGATATCACGGGGTCGGTGAGTGGTGCTCTGCCCCGCTAGAAAGGGGGGTTGCCAGGTGGCTGCTCATGAGCGTGGTCACCTCATGGCTGGTGTGTTGCGCTGCTGCGTGTGTTGCGCTGCGACAGTGCAATACAGCCGTTTGCCCCTGAGGCTGTGCCTGGCTCTTCGGGTGCCCGTTCGCAAGAGAGCAGCCACCCAGCAACCCCAAAACAATAAGCCCCCCCTCCCCGATAATGACCCAATCAAATATTTTGGGGATCAAAAGAAAATAAGTCCCTTTCTTATTTTGGGGGAAACACAGTATATCTTTCAGTTATACAGTTTATAAAACAGAAAAATAAACACAAGAATCAAACCTCATTGCATTCTTTGACAAAGTGACCAAATTAGTGGATCAAGGAAATACTGTGAATATAGTTTACTTAGATTTCAGTAAGGCATGGTCCTTTCCAATTCTGTTATTCTATGTTCTAAATGAAGGAAAATAAGTGGATTAATGATATCCATTTCACTTAAGCTGAACTCTAGGAAGAATGAGTGGCTCTGGGATTTGGGTATTGCCAATTTCTTTGGTGCTGGAGGGAGATTTATGTGCCCAGACAGATCCACTGTGCAATCTGGAAGTCCTTCTTGACTCAAAAAGCAGGGGGTATTTGTAGCTAAAAGGCTGTTTGCACAGCTTTGTGTCTTGCACCAGTTGTGCCTATTCCTGGATGGAGTGCTCTTCTCACAGTCACCCATCTAGTCATTTCCCAATTGGATTACTGTAATGCATTCTCTATGGGGTTGCTTTTAAAAATATTTGCCTGCAAAGTCTTACATTTTGATCACACAAGTTTGTTTTCCATTTAAAGAACTTGATCCGGAGTAGTGGGAAGCTAATTCTTTTAGACAAGCTGCTGATTCGCTTACGAGAGCGTGGCAGTAGAGTACTTATATTCTCTCAGATGGTGCGGATGCTGGACATCTTAGCTGAATATTTGAAATATCGTCAGTTTCCCTTTCAAGTAAGAATGTTATTCTTTAGCTACATGACTGAGTGCATTTGTTTCCATTATTGAATTATTCATTATTCATGCTTGTTTCACAATTGTTTTCTTTCTCCGCCCTCTCCCACAGAGACTAGATGGGTCAATAAAAGGAGAACTGAGGAAACAAGCACTGGATCATTTTAATGCAGAAGCCTCTGAGGTAGGCAGTTAATTGTCTTTTTCTTTTTTTTAAGATAAGTGTTCTGTCTCAGGATAAATATGCACAAATAGACACAAGCAAGAAGTAAGTTTCAAAAATCAAGCAAGTCTGCTTTAAATTTCCAAGGGCAAAGCAGACAAAAAAAAAAAGAGTAGGACCCAAGAGTCAAGAGTGTAATAGAAGGTTTGTCAGCAAATTGGAGGTCTAAAATCAAAGTCATGAGATTCCAAAGTCAAGATTCAAAGTATACAGAGTTAGTAGAATGGTTGTGTCCAATAGAGAGGCTTGGCTTTGCTGCTTTTCTTAAATAGAGTCTGTTGATACTGCTCATTATGGGAGGGCACATGCAGCCTTACGAAGCAGACCTAACAGTAAACATGACCAGATGAATTAATTCTATTTTATTGTAATGTTACATTAACAGAATTTTGCAAGTCTGAAAGTACTCCCCCTCCATGCCATTTATACTAAAAACTAGGAAGCCTTTTGTCCCATCCACATTCTGATTGTGGGCTAAACTGTCTTTTATTTGATTGTTCCTGTTTGTATCTTGTTGCCCTGCCTCCCAAAGTCATTTCCGCATACCATTACAGCACAGATCCTGTCTTAACAAAGAGCTTTGTAGAGCATCTTTACTCTTTTCTCTTTGTGGTGTACCTTGCATTAGGGGGAAATGGCAACTCAAAGTCCTATCTCTGGAGGCCAGTGGTAATGTTCCTGTTGATTAGTAGAAATCCCATCATAACTTCCTGCAGGTTCATAGACAGTGAGTCATCTATTAACTGGAACAGGCTGCTGCTGATCTCCTTGTTCAAGTCTGAGTTTACCATAACAAGTATAAGACTAATAAAAAAATAATCTTAATATGCTGTGTTTTTTTCTTGTACATATGAAGAAACAAATGTTGGTGTGTTTAGAAATTCACCAAACACAACAGGGTTAAAAAATTGTCATGATGGTAAACCCCTGATTTAACAGGCTGATTGAGAAAGGACTACCTGTTAAAGATTAATGTCTTTCAAATCAACAATTTCTTGTAATCGTAAAAACAATGAATAGGCAAAGCAGGTAAACAGAACAAAGCTTTCATACATCATCCGGTCTCTCCTCTTTTCTCTTTAGTGGCTGCCAGCGTTGTACATCTTATCTGCCCCAATCTTCCTAGCACCTTTCTTTCCTCAACCACCTCTGCCTCTGACCCATTGCAGCCTATATTTATTTATTTGCATTTTGTCAAAATCCACTAAACACAGATTAGTAAATTAACTTAGGAGTTTACTGTACTAAAATATGGCATTGATGTAAGTGATCACTTACAGTTACTGTATCAGTTACAGCTGCAAAAATACAGAAACCTATGAGGTTGAAGCAAAAAGACGCAGAAGACTCTTAAATTTTTCCTTCTGTTTAACTTGGATAGCTTGGCTCACAAATATGTATGGTATCATATGCATTTCCCACTATTAAATTCTTCTCTTAATTTCAGGATTTTTGCTTTTTACTGTCTACAAGAGCTGGAGGTCTAGGTATAAATTTGGCATCTGCTGATACTGTTGTTATATTTGATTCTGACTGGAACCCTCAAAATGATCTGCAAGCTCAGGCTAGAGCACACAGAATCGGACAAAAAAAACAGGTTTGAAATTTAAATTCTAATTTAATGTTTGGTATAGCAGAGCACAAACATTTAAATTTTCCTGCATTTTATCTCTTTTCTTTTTGGATTCACTGAATGGTTAATCAGGGTAGTTAAAGATGCTCTATTCCTGTGGTTCTTTGTTGCAGAATTTTACTCCTTGAAAATAGATATGTCATATGGTTCATTTACGTACATACGCTATATTGCCAAAAGTATTCGCTCACCCATCCACATAATCAGAAGCAGTTGTGAGCGAATACTTTTGGCAATATAGTGTATATTGAACAGTTTAGAGACAAGTAATCTTCTACTAACAATCCCCATTGGTACCTGAATGTCACCATGAGACCAGACCTGATTTTTCAACCATTTTTACAGTGATCATTAAGTAAATTATGTGGTTGTAAGTCTAAATCATGGGATCATTAAGTGATTCCATTCTCCTGAGTGGACAGTTTTAGCTAAAAACCAGCTAAAAAAAGTTCCAAATTGTCTATGGTTGCCAGATACCTAAAATACGAGGTGGGGGAGGGGGATGACATTTTATGAGAGCCAGAAGTTCTGCCTATATGATTCAAATATAACTCCTGTTTGCAAATAATAAAATGTATATTGTTCCAAATAGTAACTTCTGTTTTGATATGTAACTTTTAAATCTTTCTTTCTTTTACCCATAGGTTAACATTTATCGTTTAGTGACCAAAGGATCAGTAGAGGAAGATATTTTGGAGAGAGCCAAGAAGAAAATGGTTTTAGATCATTTAGTCATTCAGAGAATGGACACTACAGGAAAAACTGTGTTACATACAGGCTCTGCACCTTCTAGGTGTGTGTGTGTGTGTTATAGACCTTCCTAAAGTACAAAAGTAATATATTAACTAGTCAGGTGTTGTTCTTTTGACGTGTGTGTGTGTGTGTGTGTGTGTGTGTGTGTGTGTGGTGTATGTGTGTGTATATATATGTGTGTGTGTATGTGTGTGTGTATCTATCATATATATATATATATATATGAAAGATGGTGATGGGGAGGGTCAAAACAAGTAGAGATAGGTATAGAAGAAAAGGTTGTGAACAGAATAAGAGTTTTGTTTTGTTTTGTTATAGACTATTGAGACAAGAATCCAGAGCAGCAGTCCCCAACCTTTCCAGCTTGGTGGACAGGTGTGGGGAAGGGGGGATGGTTCCTTGTGAGCATCAGGAACGTGTATGAGCTTTGCAGTTCATACATGTGCCTGATACTCACATGGAACCATCCTCCCTTGCACGCCGCTTGTGTGTCCCGGTTCTGAGCAGGCAATGGCCTGGTAGTGGGCTGCAGCCTAGGGGTTGGGGACCCCTGATCCAGAGGATCATACACTCGATTATATCTGAATATTTTTTTAAATCTTTAGTTGTTATGATTATTTAAACACTGCCCAACTCCAGACAGCTCTGGGCAGCTTACACATTAAAATCTATAAATTACAGAAGGAGACTATGAAACATAAATATGCATGCAGAAAAAAAAACCATAAAAACAAGTTAGAAATTATATGGGCTCAACAACCACTCTGTCCCAAGGTCTAGGGTAGTAGCCAGAATTTTAGTGACTTTCTGAATGTGGGAGGAGGAGCAATATGGATCTCTAGTATATCAGAATTTAGGTACTCTGACTGAAAAAGCAGGCTTCCTAGGTCCCAAGAGGTGACATTGTTTATTTGAGAAGTCCTAGATCTCACCTAATTTTCTTGAACTTTTTAAGCAGACAGAAATAAACCAATCTTTGAGCTATGAAGGGTTGTATGAATGGTAGTCAACATTTGGAATTACACTGGCACCAAATGATAATCAGTGCAGCTTTCAGAGCAGTGACGTTACAATTGTTATAGCGAAAAACTTTTTTTCCCCTCCTTTCGGAAAGCTGTTTAGTTAGAGTGGTTGATGAGAATTACATTGATCAAGTGCTGTTCCAGCAGAAACAAAGTTTTAGGTGCTACAGATTGTCAGCTGTTTCCTTCTCCAGCACATGGATAAATACACCTGGTAGCATCTACCTACCTACCTACTCTCTCTCTCTCTCTCCCCCTCTCCCTATCTACCTACTGTATTTCTATTTCTCTCTCCCCCCCTCTATATACCTACCTACCTACTCTCTCACTCTCTCCCCTACCTATCTACTGTATTTCTATCTCTTTACCTACCAACCTACCTACTCTCTCTCTCCCTATCTATCTACTGTATTTCTCTCTATTTCTCTCTCTCTATCCCTCTACCTACCTACCTATCTACACCCTACCTACCTACCTACCTACCTACCTACCTACTGCATTTCTCTCTCCCCCCCCTCCCTCCCTCCTCCCCTTCTCCCTCTATTTACCTACCTACTTTTTTAAAAAAATTGCTACTTCAGAATCTGGGTGCATGTTATACTCTGAAAAATACGGTAGTTATTACTGCGTGTGCTGCCATGCCTATGATACCAGCACTATGGAATGGCTTCAGGATCAGCTCCATGTAGACTGATCTAGGAGGCTGTTTGTGAAATGACTATGGTATGAATTACCATCTGAATGGCATTCTGATCCAGAATGGACATAATAGCTGCAACAAATATATATGAAGTCTGGACCACCATCACCACCACCTGGTTTTTGAGGAGAACCTATAAGTCCAAGGTGGCCCCCAGATTGCTGCCCTAGGCAAAACTAAGGATGAAATATCCACAGAGCCAAGAGGCTCAGATTATAAAACCATTCAGTTTTGTCAGAATTGAGCCTGAATCTGTTCCTCATTCATTCTTGCACACTCTCCAGATACCAAGATGCGACATCAACATCACATGAATGACCCAGATTGAAATATACAGTTGAGTATCCTCAACATTCCTTAAAACTGTTATTCTTCATTTTCAGCTCTGCTCCTTTTAACAAAGAGGAACTGTCAGCTATTCTAAAGTTTGGTGCTGAGGAACTTTTCAAAGAACCAGAAGGGGAAGAACAGGAACCGCAGGTACAAGCAAATTAACTTCCTTGCATTTTACTTACCGTATCTGTAATTCAAAACCAAAATTCAATTTCTATAATTTTATTTCATATTCTTAGGAAATGGATATAGATGAAATATTGAAGAGAGCTGAAACACGGGAAAATGAAACTGGACCATTAAGTGTGGGAGATGAATTGCTCTCTCAGTTTAAGGTATTAACATGCATATTTACTTATAAATTAGCATTTCTAAATTTCATGGTATTCATTTCTACATAACCTTACATAGAGCTATAGTTTAAATTACTTTAGCCTTATTTCCATTACAACAGAGCTTTTAATGCAGAGGAATAGAAATAATTGAAGCATGCTTGGTCAAATGTGCAAATATTACAATTAAATGAATTGGTTTCTTTTCAGTATTTTATTGGCTTGGGCTTTGTACAACACAGATACAGTTCTGTGTTCTTACTGTTACAGTGGTGCTGAAAAAAGGTTCATGACCTCTCCTTGAACTTACAATCATGTGATTGTGAATCTAGTGTGCATTTACAGTGGTCACATGATCACTATTTACAACCTTCACATCTGGCTTCTAGCAAGCAAAGTCAATGGTGAAGCTGGCAGGAAGTCATAAGCTGAAATCACGTCATGCTATGCTTAACAACCATGGGTGTTCACTTAATGACTGCACAGAACTAATGTCATAAATGGTCACATATTTCATTTTATGACCTTGTTACTTAGTGACAACTGGGTAACTGCTGGTCCCAGTTGTAGTTGGTAAGTGAGGATATCTATACTAGCCATATAAACATTTTCATTCTTTAGAATTTTCAATCCAAATTGTTGACATGAAAAATCCAGATGTTTCCTCTGTCCATAATTACCCCAATATACATATAATCTATTTTATATAGTTCCTACAGCTTTATAGATTTTGAAGTTACATGGAACATGCAACAAAATAAAAAAAAAATTCCTTTCTGTTCTTCCAATTCTTTCTTAACTTACAAATGAAGATATTTGGCCATTGGGGCAAAAGAAAAAACTACGGGAGACTTAGATTAACTTTGATCATGAATTACTTGTGTCCTTGCTAATTCTGGTTTTGGGGATTTGGAACAAAAGCATTGATTTGTCATCTATAAAGATCTAGATAATATTTTAAGCAAGAGTTTCGTAATTTATATATTTTGTCACAATATGTACACTATATAATGTGTGCATTTGTATTGTGTTTGATAAAATAAATGTCAGGGTTACAAATAGCATCTCAATAAACTGTAAAAGATGGCTTCCAAGCCTGACAATAATATATTTACATACAGGTGGCCAACTTTTCCAATATGGATGAAGATGATATTGAATTGGACCCTGAACAAAATTCAAGAAATTGGGAAGAAATAATTCCAGAGGTCCATAGACGAAGATTAGAAGAAGAAGAAAGACAAAAGGAATTGGAAGAAATTTATATGCTTCCAAGAATGAGAAACTGTGCAAAACAAGTAAGCTTGACCTTTGTAAAGGGTCACATCTTAATTGTCTTTTGCTTTAGAACAATTGTTTATTTGAAATGCTAAATGTTAAGATTGAATTTGAGCACTTCTGCACTCTTTTTGATGAAAAAATAGATAAGTTTTAATGGAAATGAAGGAAGACGTTTTAGAAACAGAAGATATTCTGGATCAGACAGTGACTCTGTCTCAGATAGAAAACGACCAAAAAAACGTGGAAGACCACGGACCATTCCTCGGGAAAACATTAAAGGATTTAGTGATGCAGAGATTCGGAGGTAAGGAATACATCATTAATATGCATATTATCCTAATCTATTTCAATTTAGAAAGTAAAAATGCTTCCATAAGTATGTTTTATATATGTGTCAAAATGGTTTTTTTTTTAATTTGTGAAGGTCAAAATTCTGATATATTAAAATAGGTTTTTAATAAGTTGGAAGTTAAAAGGCATAGTTGAATGCTTCTGTAAATTCAAATAGCAGCACAAATTAATTAGATTTGGGTTATAGTTTAAGTAAATATCTAACATTCTTCAAATTGATAAATCAAGAAATGATCATATGTTTCTTGTTAATTTGTACTGTTATACAATGTAGGTAATATAAAGTAACTGATATTTTTATGTATGCACGTCAGCTTTTCTAATAGCCTTTACATGAACTCTTTCTGTGAGACAATCATTTCTAATTTATCATTATTCACTAAGATTGATAAATATTTTTTTCTTTTCTCTGCTTATAGTAGGTTATTTTAAAATGAGAATAATGTTCCACTTAATTTATCCAACTGTTTTTCTTAGGTTTATCAAGAGTTACAAGAAATTTGGGGGGCCTCTTGAAAGGTAAATAACTAATAACTGGAATTTCTCTCTTAACTATATATATTGAAGTATCCCACTGCTACTTTAAAAGACAAACAAAAAGAAAATATATGCAGTTCTGTTCATGAAAATCAGAATTCTAGTAGCACTTACTCCTGCAACAAGCATTTTTTTCTATTTTAAATTCAGTAAATAGAACTGTCAAGTTCAGATTATAAGAAAATAATAAGGGGGAAAAGGCAAATTAAAAAACTAGATCTTATAAAACAATAAATCACCCTCTCTCACACAAAAAATAGAGATATTATTCCTATTCTTCCCCTTTAATGAAAACCTTTATAAATAAGAAAAAAATCTGTCAAATGAATTACTGAAAATATCAATTACTATTTCAAAGAGATGGATTGATTGCCTTTCCTTCCTTATTAAAAACTTTATTGAAATATCTAGCATTAATGGTTTTCTTGTTTTTTTATGATGTAAAAGGTTTGGTACTATTGAAACCAGAATTGTAATGTTAACCTGTTGCAGATTAGATGCCATAGCTAGAGATGCTGAATTGGTGGATAAATCTGAGATAGATCTCCGGCGGCTTGGAGACCTTGTACATAATGGATGCTTCAAAGCTTTGAAAGACAACTCATCTGGACAAGAAAGAGCAGGTACAGAGTGCTTAACAGCAGCTATGTGGTATGAACCCAAGCAAAAAGTTCATATTATACCTCTTTGCTCCATAAAAATCATAACATTCCTTGGTCGTGCCCTTGACTTTATGAACAAGTTATTACTGATATGGCTGACAGCAGTTTTCTGTTTGTTGATGTGTTTTCTTCTCCTGTTTCCAGATAAATCCAGTATAGCATGTTTGTTACCTTAGAACATTACTGGCAACAATCACGAAAATTAAAAAAATTAAAAAAATACTTGTAAAGTGAATAGGAGACACAATAGATTATTTTCAGTAACTCCCATTTCTTTGCCCATTTTGACTATTGCTAAATATGCCCATTGATGTATTTTGTCAATGCTATATTAACTATTATCTATTGGGCTAATTTTTCATCCTGTAAAACCTTGCTATTTTAAGAACCTAAGAATGGATCTGCCTCTATTAAACTTGAAGAACAAGAAAAATAGTATAATACCAGGGACGTGCAGTCAGGGGAGGCAGGGCCTCACCACTATCATCATAAAAAGAAAAAAAAAGGAAAAGGAAAAAGGCTAAGGTAGTTGCTGCCAGAGTCACAGTGGATCACTGCTTAGTGCTTAACTGCAGGAGGAGGCGAGAGATCCACGTGCCTCCTTTACTCTATCTTTATGATCACTTGAGCAGAGT